AAGCTCGGTGAAAGCTAGCGCAAACAAAAGTTTTTTATATTTAACTATAGTCACTATAATAAATACCCAGCTGCCGGCTAGTCACTTTGTTTATATTTTATGATATGACAAAGAATGTTCAGATTGCAGTCTCTTCTCTACTGCAATCAACTGTCAGTCAACTGCCAGTGGCACACACTAGGAGGGGGGTGGAGGTAGGCTGAGCCCCTCCTATAACTTTGATAGACTGTAAAAATCTTGTACCAAATAACACAAATCACACTTATATAATAGTACCATTAATTAAAACATTGTAATTTAATACCACTAATTAAAACAGTGTTTTGAAAACCTAGTTTTTTACAAAATGTGTTCTCAGAACATCTTAAAGCCTTTTCGTGAGTAACCATGTAATGCATGGTTACTCACGAAAAGGCTTTAAGATGTTACTTCGGGCTAAGCTTATTCATGTTCCGATACCATCATTTACAAAACTTGCCACATTCATTTACGGATTTTTTTATAGCAAATAGCCAAATTCACCAATAGTAATACAGTACCCGAAACTCGTCGAAACTTCATATGCATTGCCATTGAACTAATTATACTAAGCACTCACTCTCAGTGAAAGGAGTGGATGTTCGGAATAATCTTGATGTTAGCTTGACAAAAATAACATCACTACCAATCTTTAAAAAAAATCGAAAATACATAATTGACATTGTCAATACAATCTAGTGAACTTATATTTTAAACAAGGAAGTCTAATTCATATTCATGTAATTAACAGATTATGTCTTTATAGCTCTCCAACTTTTCTCCTTATGTACTTTATTCTTACTAGTGAAAGCAATATTAATGTATTAATCTTCATATTCTTGTAAATACTTTTACTGGCACTGATTGACACAATATAAAACTTTGCACTGGACATTAAACTAGGGCCTTACCTTAAAAGCCTATGAAGGTTTCTTTAGACTCATAGCCCTATTTATAGATGTAGCTTTAATACTTTTATGTAAATAATTACCATAATGATTGGGTGAAATAAATAAATTAATCTTCTAGGATAAAATAACAATCGTCACTCTGTAGAAAGCCGCCATCTTTGTTTTACGGCCTGTTCGCAGGCATACAGCCCTAATTAGTCGACCTGAGTGTTTAACGCACGCACAAACCACTGAGCTGTATAATAACTGGAGGACCTGCTCCTATACTTCGTTCAGTGCACTGAGCTATAAATATATGGAGAGCGCAACTATAGATACAGAAATTGAAGCCGGAAGTCGCGCGCGGCCGCCATCTTACTGTGACCACCTTGAGGAGTGAGCTATTGTGATTAATACGGTATTTTCCACTGTTTTGTTCTGTTATCTCGCAATAGAGGAACAAATCAAGTCAAATATGGTATTTTAACCAAAAGCACATGTTCAAGAATGTTGGGGACCTCTTTTTACATTCAAATGAACTCAATCGTAAAGAAATGTGTCTATATTTTTGACGACGTTTCTGAGTGCGACTGAGATTATTCTATGACTGAGATGAATCATGAATATAGTCGTGACAACACCTTTCAAATGGGAATTTCTGATAGAGATCGGTGAATTATACCATAAGTTAACACATGAGAAATTGGTCATGAACTTTATTGTTTTGGAAATGGTCAATTTTATATGGACAAGACTCATATTTGTGTCTAGGGTCATTCCATTTATTATCCGCACCCCCCCTATGGATGAGCGGATTCCTACCGGTCAGATATTAGGACTTAGGGGATTCCTACTGGTCAGATATTGGGAATTAACAGATTCCTTTGGCCCGATTCCTACCGGTCAGATATTGCCGTCAAGGTGTAGCATACTATATTGCCAAATATTTATTATGAGAATCATAATAATTTCATTTATTATTCTCACCCCCCACCCCCGGTCTGACATTGGGAATTAGCAGATTCCTACCGGTGAGATATTGGCAATTAGCAGATTCCTACCAGTGAGATATTGGCAATTAGCAGCATTCCTAGGGTTTAGATTGATACTGTCGATTCCAACAGGGTACTTTTCTGAAATCCGATTCCTACAGGTAACATTTTTACCAGAGCTCATCCATAGGGGGGTGCGGATAATAAATGGAATGACCCTATAAACACAAATATTACGCCATATTAATTTTGTACAGTGTATTTATAAAATTACAGTACAAGGTTAAAAACAACAAAGCGGATAATAATTTGACTAAATAACAAGGTAACTGTAATGCATTGTAGTATACCAACCTTAAATATTGCGCTTGTTTTCACGTTGATGATACACGGAGATTTAACGTCATCCAAGTTAGAAAGAAGAGCCTCACTACTGGGAATATAAACACAATTCCTTCGCTCAGACGCATTATTTATCAAGCTAAAATGACAACATGTCCCATGCAAATATTTAAAAAAGGTAAACTTGGTATAGTAAAACACAAGTCATAATGATGATCGCAACAATACAGCAATAACATGCTGTTTCTTTCACAAAGTATCGCAGCGTCGTTCGAAAGCTACCATATTGGTTTAGTCAGAGAGATGTTCACTCCTCGACAGTCAACAGTCAATGAAGTCACGCGCGGAATTAGGCGCTCAATACCCATGATGCTTTGCGGCCTGCTGTCCAACCTCCTCTGGATCAGTCCATCCAAACACGGAAACCATAAAGTAATTGTTTTATAAAATAACAACAACACGGTAGTCTTCCGTGTTTGGATGGCCTGATCCAAACACGGCTTTCGACCAATCAGAATACGCGTTATATACATGTTATTTTATAATAAAACGTACTAACCTTAAAAGTTGAAAAGAACCTTCCTCTCAGGATGTGTTTGGAAGCCCATTGTTCACTCCGCACGGCGCACGCCACCACACCTTCCAAATGCGAAATATCGCGTCCATATTCGCTTCGGTTTCGCTGTACTTCGGTCAAAACAGACTTTATAGCATTACAAAGACGTTTTTTGTTTATAATTTATTAAACAGTATGAAAAAGTGTTGAAAAGAAGCAATATAAATTTTCTTCCATCCAAATTGGTCGCTGCTTCGCTTGCATTTGGTTTCCTACTTCCTGTGGTAAGATCAGACAAGACCGGAAACGAATTACTGATTTTAACTTCCGTTTGTTGGGTTTGTTGGTTTTGTTTGACTTGTTGGTTTTGTTTGACTTGTTGGGTTTGTTGGACTTGTTGGTTTTGTTTGACTTGTTGGATTTGTTTGACTTGTTTGGTTTGTTGGACTTGTCGGTTTTGTTTGACTTGTTGGGTTTGTTTGGTTTGTTGGACTTGTTGGGTTTGTTGGACTTGTTGGTTTTGTTGGACTTGTTGGGTTTGTTGGACTTGTTGGGTTTGTTGGTTTTGTTTGGCTTGTTGGTTTTGTTTGACTTGTTGGTTTTGTTTGACTTGTTGGGTTTGTTGGACTTGTTGGGTTTGTTGGACTTGTTGGGTTTGTTGGTTTTGTTTGACTTGTTGGTTTTGTTTGACTTGTTGGGTTTGTTGGACTTGTTGGTTTTGTTTGACTTGTTGGGTTTGTTTGACGTGTTGGCTTTGTTTGACGTGTTGGCTTGTTGGACGTGTTGGTTTTGTTGGCTTGTTGGATTTGTTTGGCTTGTTGGTTTTGTTTGTCTTGTTTGGTTTGTTGGACTTGTTGGTTTTGTTTGGCTTGTTGGACTTGTTTGGCTTGTTGGACTTGTTTGGCTTGTTGGACTTGTTGGGTTTGTTTGGATTGTTTGACGTGTTGGCTTGTTTGGCGTGTTGGTTTTGTTTGCTTGTTTGACTTGTTGGATTTGTTTGGCTTGTTGGTTTTGTTTGGCTTGTTTGGCTTGTTGGATTTGTTTGACGTGTTGGCTTTGTTTGACGTGTTGGCTTGTTGGACGTGTTGGCTTGTTGGACTTGTTGGGTTTGTTTGGATTGTTGGACGTGTTGGCTTGTTTGGCGTGTTGGTTTTGTTTGCTTGTTTGACTTGTTGGATTTGTTTGGCTTGTTGGGTTTGTTGGTTTTGTTTGACTTGTTTGGCTTGTTGGATTTGTTTGACGTGTTGGATTTGTTTGACGTGTTGGCTTGTTGGACGTGTTGGCTTGTTGGACTTGTTGGGTTTGTTTGACTTGTTGGTTTTGTTTGCCTTGTTGGGTTTGTTGGTTTTGTTTGACTTGTTGGACTTGTTTGGCTTGTTGGATTTGTTTGACGTGTTGGCTTTGTTTGACGTGTTGGCTTGTTGGACGTGTTGGACTTGTTGGGTTTGTTTGACTTGTTCGACTTGTTTGGCTTGTTGGACTTGTTTGGCTTGTTGGACTTGTTGGGTTTGTTTGACGTGTTGGCTTTGTTTGACGTGTTGGCTTGTTGGCTTGTTGGACTTGTTGGGTTTGTTTGACTTGTTCGACTTGTTTGGCTTGTTGGGTTTGTTTGGCTTGTTGGACTTGTTGGGTTTGTTTGACTTGTTTGGCT